TTACATATATAGTTTTAATGTTAGAACGCAGTTAAGCATATGTGACAATTCAAATGTGAACATCAGGGAGACTCACACATACTTTGGAGGACATGAATATGCCAACCATTCTATGTGACAAAATAGGCATGTGACCATAAGGCTCTCACATGTGAATTGGCTAGTAAAAAGCCAAAGCCATTCTATGTAATAAATCACGTGTAGCACCTACTCATTATCACATGTTGAATGGTTGGTTACAAAACTCAAACCATTCTAGAAGATAAATCACACATGGAATACTCTAACGCACGCATGTGAAATGGCTAGTTACAAAACTAGGCCATTTTGGAAAAACATATCATGCAGCATGGATTGCATGATTGAAGAGATTCAAAACAATTCATGTAAGTGTACAAGATGAAACAAGCTTGAAATGGCTTGAGATTCACTTAGCTAAAATGTATTCAAAAGACTTAGTGACAAATCACACATAGACACATTCAATTCAAGGCGAGAGATGACACTTCACAATATGCAAGGGAACACAAGGTGACAATTCAAGCATGCATATATAAGGGTATCTTACATGAATTAGAGCACAGAAGCTTCATCAAGGCATGACACGAATATAAGTGACAAATCACACGCAGATCACTACTGATTCAAGTATGAAAAGTTAGTTGGTGTGCTTAGAATGACAAACCACATGTGGGATCATACTGAATCACGCATTAAACATCATGCAATAAAAAGCTTAACTTTTATGATCCAATTCAAGCTCGAATGACATAACTCACAAGCTTAAATTGATTAAGATAAATCCTAAGATGCATAAATGGGACTCATAAGCTAAAGATAATGCTTTCATTTCAAGGATGATAACATATGATTAAGCTCTCAAAGTTTTCATATTGAATCTAAATAACTTATCCTATAAATCTTCATCTTCTTTTGTTTTTTCATGCTCTTGAAGTTTTGTCTTTATCCATGATTTTTTATGTATCTGCACACATAGCAAACACCTCTTCTCTTAGTTTTGTAATCATTAAAACATATGATTCAACAACCTCAAGAGAAATAAGGCCAGAAAATGGGTAATGCATCATGGCATGCACCACATGCACTACTGTATATGACACAAAGCCACGAGCTTCCATTCTATGCCATGCACCACAGCTTGTTAAGCCATAGATCATAGCGCACATGATAGATTTTTACTGTCATATAACAATTCGCAGAGGCAAAATTCTGGTGTGTGACGTTTCACATATGACATTCGATTGGAGTGATTCAAACGCCTACAAGAAGCTTATTTTATAAGCTAGCTAATGAGATAAATTTGGATACGATTTAACGATCTGATCAAAATTTGGACGCTCAGGTGTAAAAAGTCATTTTTTTAAAAATTTCACGCACCAAAGTGTTTAAATTACACATCTAGTCTCATAATTCATTTTGGTCTTAGAACTAAGTCCAAAAGGATCATATACGCTTGATTGACTCACAATCACAACATATAGGCATATAATTCAAAATTTGGCCACTAACTCGCCCATTTCATAGCAATAAGGCCATTTCTCGTCAATTTTCTCAAAGATTCACTCATTTGGCCATTTTAAACCATAATTCACCACAAATTCACTACTATCAACACATTTATATACCAACATAACACAATCTTAACCCATAATCATAATTCACCACTTTTCACATAAATGGGCAAAGTTCACCAACAAACACATTTCACCACATAATTATTACTTACATAATCACAACACATTCTCAATTAAATCTTAGCCCATTTCACATAATTCAATACATATATAACATATTTACACACACAAGGCTAAGATATGCAAAATCACTACTTTTCGTAATTCAACACATGCATGCATATCCTATGGCAACTTTTCATTTACAATATTCACAAAAAACTAAGTTCATCACATAAACTCCGATTTCACACAGTTTTAACAGCACTAAGCTAGCCCTAAGTCTTTCCCTTTATCCGACTTACTACTATGACCTATAAAAAAATAACCATGGGGTAAGATAATAATCTCAATAATAGAATAACTTGCTATTACTAACTATCATAGGTCAAACATAATATAAAATATGAATCTTACTTCATAAAGCCATTTCACAACAAATCACCACTATGAGCATGATTAACGACCATCCCAGCTTTTAAATGACCTTGACTGAAACCATATCCTCCCATTAGGACAATACACACTCGTTGACCCCAAGTACACCTTCAGTGGCAGAATCACCTAGCCAAAGGTGTTTTGTCCTACTTTCAGACTACAGTTTCCCCCTTTCATACACTAATCAGGGTGTCTTACTCTAACACCATATCACACAAATACTAAGGAGTTCAAATCTCCAACATTGTGCCCTACATAAATACTAAGGAGATAATCTTTAACACCGCATCTAAAAAGGTACTAAGGAGATTAAATTCTCTAACACCGCACCCCATCAGGAACTAAGGAGAATATATCATATAAACTTTCACTACTTCTCCCTATAGGTGAACTTCCACCTTTATGATTATGCTTTTGTACCAAACACTATTTTACATTCAAAACCAGATATATTTAGTATATGCTTGCATATTTCCACTTGTTTGTTTAACTAAAAACCATTTCATGCAACAATCATGCATTGTCTCAAAACATGCTCAATTTAAAACAATTAAATGCATTAGCTATAATACTCTCAAACAGTTACAATATACAATCAAATAGAGTAAGTTTTTGATATAGAAATAATGATTGGAAAGTACCAAATTGATACCACTCAAGATAAAAACAAGAAAACTATTATTGTAATTTTTCCCCTATGCCCTGTTATTTCGCTATTTATATTGCTGAAAGGGAGGGTCACGGTTTGCTGTTTCTAAATTAAGTGGAGAAGAAAAACTCATTTGGGAAATGGAGTAGAATTTTTGACGGTGACTATTATGAGTATAAATTTATTTTTTTTTTTTGAAAGAAGTGATGGGAGTGATTTAATGTAATATGTATAAATTAGAAATTTAATTATTTTGGATTTGTGAGAAATGATATAGTAGTGTTAGATAATTTTTAGGCTTTGATATTTGTGAAAAGTCTAAAGAAGCTCATTTACAAAAGAAGTTGGGACAATGATGTATTTTAATCAAAGGTATCATTTTTTTTTAATTCTTGTAATAGCATTGATTGGTTAACACTTATTGTTAATGAACTTTAATACCATGAATTTTTAGAAAATATATGGTTAATTTAGATATTCTCTTACTTGTATGACACTTTGGCCAATGTATATTTGTGCGTGTTGAAATTTTATAAATTTATGGTTTAAGCTTATTAATTTTAATTGAGTTTATCACTGTTTCTCGATCCTTAAAATGGATTAATGCTATTGAGATTTTTAAAACTATCACTCTTCTCATAACGTCACAATCCTAGGTGCATGATCATCTAAAAACCAAAAGTAGAAAGAGCAATGAAGAGTGTTATTTTTCTTTTACCTTGCTTTTAACAATATTTTGATATATTTTGAGAACTGCACACATACACACACATATATATTTCCATGATTTTATTTTGAAGTTGTAACTAGAGAAAATAAATTACAAACATGTTTATAGTTTAATTAGAATCATGATTTGGATATACATATCCAAGGAAGCAAGTTTGGTAAAGGTATTGTATTAGCTACATAATGATTATCACTTTGAAGTTTTGATCATTTATAGAGGACATTTCAGGCTTCGAATGAAGTTGTGAATCATTAAATTTGAAAGCATATATCATGAGATATGATTTTGTCAGATAAAGTTAAAAATCTGGATAATTTTTCCGGAGGTAGCTGAACAGCTGAGAAACGAAAATTTCTTAATATGTATTGGTTATCATCTAAAGTCAAAGTTTATTCTTCCTTTAAATAGGACTTCCTAAGCTTGATTAAATCATCTCTATAATTTTTTCTTGAATTAGTTATTATTTTTACAAGTTAATGGAGGAATCTGGAAAAATGCACTAATTAAAATAAATTGCATTTTTTAGCTTCTGGTATTCAATACTTGAAGATCATAAAAATGTAAAGTGATCCTTATAACATATTTATTTAACATAACTACATAACCAAAGATTCAAACTTGAGATTGAGGATAAGTTAATTTAATTCTATCAACCAATTGAACTTGATAGTCCAAAAATACCCTTATAAAAATTTATTAAGAATGAGCCAATTGAAGATCATAAAAGTGTAAAGTGATCCTTATAACATATTTATTTAATATAGCTACATAATCAAGGATTCAAACTTAAGATTGAGGATAAGTTAATTTAATTCTATCAACCAATTGAACTTGGTAATCCAAAAATATCCTTATAAAAATTTAAGAACGAGCCAATTGGGCCTGATCTGGACTCAATTTCACACCAGACAAAAAAATAACTTTGGTATTAACTTTTCTTCTTTTTTACCAAAAAAAATTGATTCTTAAAAATAATAACTAGCTTTAAGATATTTCAACATAAATTACCTAAAATTTTGGATCCTACGTTAATTTCCCCTACATTCTGTGAGTTTTGGCATTCTCACTCGCAGACAGAACAAAATCTAAAATACCCACACAGGACACCGGAACCTAGAAATTAAAATGAAGAAAGTAAACTGTGCGAGTGAGCATGCGTGCTTGTGCGTGTAAGAACGACCATGACTTCTCATGATTCCTGTAGAATGCTGAAGTGAATTACTATGTCAAGAGCACTATTGGAATAGATAAGACGTTCATATATTTCTACAACGGTTATTGTAGTTTCATACCACCATTTATCTATTTTCAACTAAAACGTAGATCAATAGCTTATAAGATGCCACATCAAATGACAACTAAAAGTCTCTAACAAAGATAGTTGAAGTTTAAAAATGACTTATTAAACTGAGTATCGGAAATTTTAATTGTCATCCGGCGACTGGTGTGGCATTTTATTGGCCGATTTATTCTAGTTGAAAATAAAGGGTAAAACGTGTTTAACTCATACTTTCAATTCTTGACCATAAAAAGTTACAGGGAGTGTCGAAGGGTCACAACAGTTACAGTTCCTATGGCAGCAAGACACTTCAGTAAACAAGCAATTGCTAAAGTCTAGAGACATGTTTTAAAGTCTCATCCTCTAAGAATATCCGTGGTTAATGTCTCTTTGGTCTGGTCTCTAACCAAATGTGACATATTGTACAGTTAAATCTAAATATTGTCCCAAGAATGCTAAAGTGTGATAATCAAATTACTTGTCTCAATAATGCCTACAAACCGTTTCCTTCCGCAGTTGCAGCATGAAGAAGTCCATCTGGGGTGGCAGCTGGATCCAGGTCCCAGCACCTTTCTGGCAAATGGCTTCCTTTTCCCTTGACGAACCACGACGGCACTTGGTGCGAGAAGCGCAACATTTCTCTTCTCGGTATCCATCTAATGGCGTTTTTGTCAGGATTCCTCTGATATACTGTTTTGAATCCATCTAACTTTACAAGGGGAGTCACACAAACCCCAAACTCCTCAGAATATTCATCAAGAACCTCCACCATTTCATACTGATGCCTCACTTCATCTGGGGTGCCTCTGTTCCAGTCTGGCGACCAATTTCGGTAAACAGCCCAAATATCTCCTATTCTAGGATATATACGAACACAACCACCTCGACCAGCCTTCTCACGGCTAAGAGCATGAGAAAAAATGTTAACATGCTCAACAATATCAGAGCTCCAGGCCCTAAAATTTCCACAAGATTTAGTAAAACCTGAATCTAGCCAATTCACTGAGCCAAACTCACTATCAGTTTTGGAGCTTAAGTAACTAATATGAATCTTAAATGGATTGGTAGAAATGACCTCCCGGATGATACAATACAATCGAGGCATTCCGTCCTCCTCATCATACAAGGCCCATATTTGCTTTGGCTTGAAGCATTCCTCTGACCTGTCTTTATCAAAGTCATGAAAATCAGAATCTGGGACAGTGATTGAGACTGGACCGCTTTTCCTATGCTCTAGTTGATGACCAGAAAAATTTAGACTTGGCCGTCCATATGTGTCTTTTTTGTCTTGAATGACTTCAGCTTTTGCTTTTTCTTTCTCCTTAACTGCAGCAGCCGTTTCAGATTTCAACTTCATCTCTTCCAGTTTTTTTCTAATTTCTCTTCTGGCCTTCTCAATTAATGCTTTTCTAGTGTCAAACACCAATTCCATGGAAGACTGTTTGGACTGAACTTCACTTGTACTGGAAAGCTTAGGGCAATGCCCAATGCTTTCATTTTTATTGGCCAATCTTGATTCTGGAGCAACTTTCAAGTCATTATCCTCAATGTTATTTCTGCAGCCGGCTTCCGCAACAACTTTCCTTCTCTTGTCAGGCTTACTGGGATTAACTTCCTGCGGATCATAACAAGAATGTGATAAATCTGGATTTATATTGAGAACAGTCTCTCCCACATGGTGACTCCTATCGACTTCTGATCTAATTCTTGGTCTCCCTCGCTTCGCATGTCCATTGGCCTGATATACTGAACCAGCAGCAGGTAATGAAGTTGGTCCGTTTTGATTGACATGTCTTGCTGAGCTCCACTGAAATGAAACATTTGGAACATACTCGTATCCATGTCCAGAATGATATCCAGTGACTCCATTTCCATTAAAATAAGGAGCGCTAGTAGGGACATACGTAACTCCATCAATCGAATGGCTTCCATAACTATTACTCAGTGTACAAGACCAAGGACCATATGGGAAGGAACCATTTGCAGGGGGTGCCCCAGTTTCAACAGCAATGAAAGTACCACGACAGTTTTTGCATGAAAGTCTCTTATTCACATATTTGCGTAGATACTCATACTGAACTTTACACGAAGTGCAAATTGTCCAGAAAGTGTCAAGCCTACCATGGGAGGTTGAATAATTGGAACATTTATTATAAGTATAACCTGTAGCTCCTGTAGCATGGACTGAAGACAAATTTGTCTGATTAACCCCAGCAGATAGTTGTGCATTTCTCTTGAGATCATAAGAACTGCGCTTAGCATTATCTGACAACCATGTCCACGCTTCGGATACAAGCTTAAATGCTCCATCAGCTCCTACACATTTGTTCTTATCTGGGTGGAGCAACACAGCCATCTTCCTGTACTGTTTCTTGATGCTATCTTCATCAGCTGAAGGTTTTAATCCGAGAATTGAATAATAATCTCTTTCAGCATTATTTTCAATCTCAGAAGCAACGTAAACTTCAAATGTTGCCACCATTTGAGCTATACCCTCCATTCCTGGACATAGGGTTTTAGCTTTCAATGCATAATTTTTTGCACCAGCAAAGTCTCTCTGAGCAAATCGCTGCTCAGCAATTTCTATTGCTTTATGAGCCTCCTCCTCTTTGCTTGCTTCCATGAAGGAACCCAAGTCACTTCAGATCTGAACTTCTGAAACAAAAGCCTATGACCCACCCAGCTTGTTTATCAATGTGAAAGACTCCATTCTCTCATCTAACTTCGTTTCAATGTCTACTAACTGTTTCGTGGAAGAAAGAAGAGACGATTTTAGTTTCAAGGATCATAAGATTTTAATCTAAGATCCATGTGCAACTATAAAGCATTGATACTTCGACAATGCAGCTATATGGAGTTCAAAATGCATCGAGCATGTGTGTCAAAAACCACACAGCACATCAAATTGTAATCAAACACTATAATTTTGTTGGGTCATATTCTTGTCAGACTGTCAGTATTGGTTCTTATTAGAATGTACAAAAAATTCAAATTTCTCAACAAAACAAACAGTAAGCTAACGTGTACTAATAATTTTGGATCGAATTATTCAACGTCAACTCAGGACTAATGCTTTGTAAGGTTTCTTAGAAACAAGGTACAGTTTAGATACTCTTATTGAAGTTTTACAAATCAAAACAACATAAATCATAAATCATGAACATATTGTACTCCAATCTTCTTACTTTCCTTCAGTTTCATTGATAATTAATGCAAAACCTTGTATTTCTCAGTCTTGGCCAGAACCTACACTTGTCCAACGTCAAACTCAATATACCATTTCGAACCTTAAATCCACTCCCAAAAGGGAGGACGCACCAAACTCTCAATCGGAAACCAAATTCAGCTAAATTAGATAAAAACACATAATTTTGCACTAAGATCGAAATTCTAAGAAAAAGACGCAAAATTTATGCTCAGATTATCCCAAAAAAAAAAAAGGCACAAATATAATAAAAATTAGCACAGATTATAATTCTCCAAAAAAGGGGGGGAAAACTCACCGAGATCGGTGCTGGTAATGGGCTTGAGGAAAAGCCAGATCGCCACGTGTACTTGGAAGCTCGAGCGAAATTGACCCGAGCTAACAGCGAATCTCACTGCGCTAAAAAATTTCGAAACACAAGCCAATTTTTGTGGGGCGAACTGAAATATTCAAAATGGTAAAGGTACGGGAAAAATATTTTGAAGCTGAGATTTCAAGGATTTGAAATTCGAGCTCGGAAGTGGATCCGAATCGTGCGGAGTGGCGGCGATGAACAGGAGCTTCCGTCGTGAACAGCCGATCAGAAATGGAAGAATGAAAAATAGGATTTATTATTATTAAAAATAGAAAATGATAATTTTATGAGCAAGCACACCAGTTATTACAATTAATACTCGATGCTCGGAATAAGGCTAACGTGCACCGCTGGTGCGTCAGCATCCTATTTAGTATTTAGTATATTTAATTTTTGCTCCGTCGCCCCCCCCCCTCGTTAGTTTTGTTTACATTTTTTTTTTTTTTGTGGAAGTTAGAAACAATCGATATGTAAATTTCATGACTAACCTTCCATTACTTGATTGGATTGGCCTTTGGTTTTTGCTTTTTAATAGTTTTATACTCTTTCAGACACATTCTTTATTGAATGAAATATCCGATTTTCACTCGAAAAAATTTTTAAAATTTTTGTCTTCACCAAAATAGTTCAATGTAGCTTTTTTTTTTTTTTTGGAGGATGACATTTGAATATCTTATAAAAGAATAATTAGGACTTTAATTTCTAATTTTGAAAATTATTAATATAATATATTATACTCCCCAGTCCTTTTAAAAGAAATTAATTGTCTTTAATATAAGACACTGGTTGTGGTATTAATTACATTTTTAAATATTACTTTTATTTAAATTTATTGACTGTAAGATCAAATTATTAATACAAGGAATCCAAATGTCATTGTTTCTCTATGTTTTTTTTTTTTAATAACGTGAATAATGTAATCCAAAGCTAGCGAAATCTTGTGTTGAAGAACAATTAAGTTGTGAAATTATCTTATGCACACATTTCATTATTTTTCACTAAAGTAATGAAAAGCCACTTTTTCTGTATGCTTTTTTTATAACCTGAATACATGTAATTAATTGGAGCTTAGGAAGATCACGAGTTGAAGAACAATTGGTAATGAAATTATTTTATGCACTCAATCATGGGTTAGGTTTTTTTCATAGATACATGCACTTAGGATGAGTTTGGAATTATTTTGAAGTGGAGTCAAAATCAAGTTCTGGCAAAAGTAATCTGAAGACTGGTTTTGTTAAATAAATCATGTTTTTTTTAATAAAACTAAAACATGTTTTAGTCTTTCTCAGTATGTTTCTAAATATGCACTTACAAACATATACTATTCCATCAACAAAAATTGATTCAATTGATGGAGATTCAATTCATATTTCATAAAAGACATGTTTAGTTTTTATTATTGATGTGAAAATTTTATTGATATATGATTTAAAACTTATAATGAATTATGTTAAATTTGAAATGTATATGTATAGGGCGGGAAATAATGGTTTAGAATCATTTTGCACCAAGTAATAGTAATACTTTCTCTTTTTGTCAAGCACTAAATTGAGGAATTGAATTATATGAGACTTTATATATCTAAATTGAGGAATTGAATCATATGAGACTTTACAATATCTTCGTACAAAAGTTGTTCGTAGTCACTTCGATCAATTTTAGCATAATCATGCTTTATATAATTAACATTTGTTTTAGAGTTATATAGTAAATTAACTTTTAAACTATATAAACATTTGAGACCTTAAACTCATTTTTAAGATAATATTTCTTTTCAACATTTCAAAACAATTCAATATTGACCTACCATAAACAAATATTAACTTTAACTATTAGTTAACAAAAAAAATTACAAACAATAACACAGAAATTATCTTTAACAACATTTCTAAATCTTTTTTTTTTGTAATTTTTTGGATCATTATTTGTAATTTTGAGACTACTTAATTTAATTTTTGTGATCATTTTTTATAATTTTTAAAGTCTTTTTCATAATTTTATAGTCAATTTATAGTCAAAATTAACTTTTATTAACCGTAAAAGTGATATTATACCTTTTTTCAAAAATTGAAACAAAACATTGTACTAAAATTAAATTTAAAGCCTCAAGCACACATAGACCTATAGTTTAAGGTGAAACTAAGACTTTAGTTTATAGTGATATCAATCTAATATGCCATTGGTTATGCTAGCTTTTATCCTGCAAATTTTAAGTGAGTGATCATGAAGTAGTTTAACTCTTATGGTGGGAAACTTTTATATGAATATCATTATTACTTCCTTCGTTTAAAAAAATAAAACATTTTTTTATAGAATCTCACTTTTCAATAAAGTAGTTACTTATTTTTAAATTAACCCTATCTTTTCATATTTACCCGTATTTAATAAAGTGTTTTATCCTATAATAAATATAAAGTAATTTATTCAATAGAGATATTTTAAAAAAAATACAATAATTATACCTTGAAAGATTAAAAATGCTTTATATTTTTTAATATTTAATTTCTGAAAAAATATAATATATTTTTTAATTGTGGGAAGTTATGTTTGCAATCATTATATATTTTTATATTTAGTTATACTGCAACTCTTTGCACTGCATGACGGCAACACCAAGAAGAGAAGTCTCAAACCAGAAGATTCACCACGCCTTTGAATTTTGTTTGAATGAGTCGTGCATATGTTTTACTCCTTTAAATTTGTCTAAATGATCAAGTCTGTTAAGTTTAATTTCTATTAATTTAATATGTTAAACTTACTTTAATTATTAATTTAATTCTTATTATTTAAAAAAGATGTTACATTGTTAAAATTCGCTGACTTGGATAGTAGAATATTGATAGTAACTTTGTATATTAATGAAAAGGGATATAATTATTTAGGTAAAAAAAACAGACTTTAAAATTTTTAAAAACAAGAAACACATTGTAAGTGAATATATTGATAAAAATTAAACTCATTTAAAGGTTAATTTGCTCTTATTTAGCTACATATATACGTCAAATTATTAATATATTTTTCACATTAAATTATTTTGAGAGTCTATTTGTGTTTTAAAACTTAAAGAAAAAAAATACTCCCTCCATTCAAAAATGTAAGACATTTTTAATCGAATCTAACCTCCTAATAAAGTAGTTACTTACTTTCAAACTAATCATATCTTTTTATATTTATCCTTATTAAACACCCTATAATAAATATAAAGTCAATATTAATAGGGGCACTTTTGAAAAATAATAATGATTACATCTCAAAAAACTAAAAATACCTTACATTTTTAAACATCCAACTCCTCAAAAAATACTTTATATTTTTGAACGATGGAGTATAGAATTGTAGTAATTTAAATTTTTTTTGGCTGGGGTTGTAGTAATTTGAAATAAGTGAATTGAAATGCAGAAATACAAGAATATTTTAAATTCTTATATTTGTTATGACCTTGATTAAATGATATTTTTTTTATGAGCAAGACTTTTGTACATAACTTTACATGCTTAATATACTTTTATTCAATTATGTCAAAATAAGTAAATTTTAATATATTAATAATATAAATAATAAGAATTTATTACAGAATAAATAATCTATAAATGATACACATATATTGGTTTAATTAAAAATAAATATATTAAATATATAAAGCTAAATATATAAGTTTTTTTTTTTTGGTTACTTATAGGTGTTCTTTGACTGAAAGCAATTTTATTTAAGGTATTGTAAGGCATTAAATATGTGTAACTCTTCTTATATTGATTCAAATCTTGATTTACTGTATTACGAGGGATATACATTTCTATTAAACCCACTTTGTTGGTTAATGAAATGGTATATTTGTCATATACAAGATTATTTTATGATAAGAAACGTACACGCAAAGAAAGGTACTATGACATAAATAACATAATTTGTTGTCCAGGCTTTAAAAAAACAAAAAACAGAAGGAGAGGAAAAGTACGATGTGTGTTTTAAATTAAAGAATAATAATTTAATAACACAAAAAGGAAAAAAAAAAAAAAACAGAGAGAGATAGAGACAAGAACTCTCAAATGTCTCTCACTTTGTTTTAAGCCCAACAAGTAAAAAGGGCAACAGACCCAATATCCGTTGCTTAAAATTTAGGGCACTCCTCCTGCCCTTTCTTATTCGAGGGGCAAGGTATGAGAAATAGGAAATTACTTTTATTTAAAATATTAATTATTTTTTCTGGAGTATTCGTATTTAATGTACCTTTTTTTCATACGAAATTTAAAAATAAAGTAAATTAAATGCATGCAGTATTTCAGGAAAAATAAACTATCACACAAAATTGACATGATTATTGCAAGCAAAAAAACTTGTACAATTAGGAGAGTAATAATATATTAACATTCATACCGCGTTATAATTTATTCTAGAAGGACTATAAGGTATAAGGAGTGATTTTAAAAATCTAGATAAATTATACAAATTAAATTATTAATTTTTATAATTATAAAAAGGAAAAATAAATTATGAAAAAACAAAGTATATAACTTTTTCCTTGCACATGCTTTTATAATTAATATATCTTCTTTGAGGAACACCAGTTCACTTATTTTTCTTCAGGTCTTTTTGGTAAAGCACCTAGTGTTTATTTTTTTAATTTTTGGATAAAAGGCTAATGCATTAATAAAAAAAATAGAATTACAACAAAGATAATCAAAGAATTACAACAAAGACAATAAGACAGATATACCCAAGACAAATTAAAGACTTATAACCTATAACAAGATAGTTATCTAAAAGCATGATATCTTTTATATAACAGGTAAAGAGGCTTAGTGACTACAAAGAACATGACAGAAGAGCACGCATAAAACAATAAAACAAGAGAAACCATTCCGTGGATGAAAATAGAGCCAATAATTTGGACCAAGTTTGATGGCTAGCTCGAATTCACCTGGAAAATTTTAGGGTCAAACTTAGGAAAAAAAATAATTTTTTTATATTCAAGGCTATTTAGGCTAACTCAAATAGGCTCGAAAAAATTTTGTCCAAATCCGATCAGGTTAGGCTTGGCCCAAATACCCGAATACAAAATATATATGCTTTAAAAACATATAAAATATAACAAATATTAATTAATTTTGTTAGTTTTGGGCCATTTTATACTAAAATATCATATATTTGTGTCCTAGATATCATTTAAGTATCCAAAAGATATATATATTTATATTTTTATAAAATAAAATAATTAATTGTAAAGTAAAAAATAATTAAAAATAATTTTAAAAATAAAATTTA